GTCCTTCATCTAGTGTTCTGCCAATCCTATTTAGGATGACTCGAGTGAACAACTTGTAGATGACAGACAATAGGCAGATCGGGCGATAGTTGCCAATGTCATGGATGTCTCTCTTCTTGAACAGTAGTACGGTCCTGCTGGTTTTCCATTGGGACGGAACCTTGCATTCAGACAGGTAGCGAGTGAAGACGATTCTTAAAAAATTAGAAATTGAGCTTCCATTTGACCCAGCAATACCACTCCTGGGAATATATCCCAGAGAGGCAAAAAAGTATAGTCGAAGTGACATCTGCACTTGTTTGTTCATTGTAGCACTGTTTACAATAGCCAGAATCTGGAAAAAACCTGAGTTCCCGAGAACAGAAACTTTGGTACATCTACACAATGGAGTACTATGTAGCTGTTAGAAAAGATGAAGTCATGAAATTTACATACAAGTGGGACTACATGCCAAAGACTATTTTTGCCGGGGTCTCTGGCAACCCCTTTGTGCCCAGGCAGCCGGCAGGAGCCAGGGAGAAGAGCTGAGAGGTGGGGCAGTTCAAGTCCCAGCTCTGGCCTCCCTGCCAAACCGTCCTTAGTGCTTAGGGCGCCCTCTGCTGGGCTATTCTGAAAAGGGCACCTTAGTCTCGGGCGGTTCCCAGCGGTCCGCAAATATTGGTGCCTAAAAGTGGTTTAAATAAACTGGGTTTGCAGCACGGCTCCTGAGCTGGGGCGTGGCTAAGTGGGAACTCGGCGGCGGAGGGAAGGGGGGCGGGGGCTTGCAAAGTTCAGCGTTTGACCTCTAGCATCTCAACCCACACCCCGCCTCCCCAGCCTTTGAGAACCACCGTGAGCTGGAGTGTGGAGCTCGTGGTATTTCCCTTTCATCTCTGCCCCCCCTTTATTATTTTTTTTTTAATTTATTAGTGAAACACCATGAGGTACAGTTGTAGACTTACAAATGTTTGTGCTTGGGTTTCAGTTATGCAATGATCGAGTACCCATCCCTCCACCAGTGCCCATTTTCCACCACCACGGGTCCCAGTCTCCCTCCCACCCCCCATTCCCCATCCCACCCTGCCTCTATGGCAGTGCATTCTCTGGGTCCCCCTTCATGTGCTCTTCGGATAGACACCCAGGGAGGAACTGATGCATCACGTGGTAGGATCATTAACAAGTTTTCGTTCTTTTTCTCTTTCTGAGGCCATGCTCAGTGGTACTCAAGGCTTACTCCTGACTTTGTGCTCAGGGATCAATCCTGCAGTCCTCGGGGGGGCCAGGGATTGAACCTGGACCATGCAGTGACTAAGGCTTTAACTACTGTACTCTCCCCCAGCTCTATTTTTGATTGCTTGGGAAAAAAATCTCCCTTTTTTTGTTTTCTTTTTGGGCCACACCTGGCAGTGCTCAGGGGTTAGTCCTGGCTCTGCACGCAGGAATTATTCCTGGTGGTGCTTAGGGGATATGAGTGCCAGGGATCGAACCCAGGTCAGCCACGTGCAAGGCAAACGCCCTCCCAGCTGTCCTACTGCTCCAGTACGTCTTTCTGGTTCTTGCCAGGCCACTGCTTGCAAGTTCCAGGTCTGACCACGCCGCCCCTGGTCTCCTCTGAGTGCCCGGCTTGGGTCCAGGCTCCTCCCTATGGCCTGACGCTGGGTCTAAGTCTGGGGAAGCCACTGCGGCTGTGAACAGGGCTCAGCGCTAAGATAAAGAGAGAGAAGAGCGGGGTGGAAGGGGGTGGGGGACCCCCGAGCAGGGCTTTAGCAACTGGTCAATCCAGCCTTGGGGGTTCTGGGCTGGCCCCGTTCTGGGTGTGCTGGTTTGAGAATCGACCCAGAGCTTGGCATGGAGGAAGCAAACTTTGGAGGGAACCCTGAGGATCCCAGCAGCCCGCACCCAGGCAGGACCCGGGGCTGCAGTGCCGGGGATCTGTGGGAGCTTGGTGATGTCACTTCCTGTCTTCGTATGTTCCCGTGGAAGGGCAAAGAGGAGGGCCATGACCGAGAGCAACCGAGAGGACAGCGGAGCGAGAAATAATTATAGACACAGGAGAGGGGAGTCAGCCAGGCAAGAGTGGGCTGGCGGCAGATGGACGGGATGAAGAGGTGGAAGCTGAGAGACGGGGAGGGCTGGGGAGCAGGAGGCAGTTGTGGGGGGGCGGCGAGGGGCCCCGCCATCTGCCAGGTTTCCATATGCAGAGTGGAGGAGGGAGCCCCTGGGAACATCAGTCTCCGCCCACCTGCCCCAGGGTAGCAGGGCCCTGGCAGCCCCCCCCCCACGCTTCTCAGGTATAAGTCGGGGGAGGGAGGCTGCAGCTGGCCGGGCAGTGCCCACTGGAGCCCAGGGCATGGTCCTCAGTAGCCGCTTGCCTGGCCGCGGCAGGCTGGTGCAGGAGCTTCCAGCTAAGGCCTCTCCTCCCGTCGCCCCCTCTTCTGCTGCGAGGCCACCTCACCCCAACACTTCCCCACAATACCCCCAGATCTGGGGTCTCTGCAGCGCCCCCAGGGCTTCTAGAGCCGTACCAGGACCCCTAGTGACCCTTGCCATCATCATCCCCAGCTCCCCGCCAACGGTGGGGACTGCATCTCTTGCTACGTCTCACCCAGCAGGACAGGGACCCCCACGTCCCCGTCCCCACATCTCACCTGAAGGACCCCCCCACAGCTTTCACTCTGCAGACAGTGACCCCCACATCTCACCCTGGGGGACAGGGATCCCCCCACCCCTGTCCCCCATATCTCAACCCCCCACAGGACAGGGACCTCCACACCCCCAACTCCTCACTACGCAGGACAGGGACTCCGCATTCCCCCAGCCCCATCTCAGAGGCCCTGGGAACAGGCACAGTTGGGGCAGGTGGATGCTGGGCAAAGAAGGGTGGCCAGAGTCAAATGTGGAATTTTTGAAGGTGGCCAGGGCTCACCCAGAAGCCCTCTGAGCCACCCTCCGGCCCCAGAGGTGTGGTGTGCAACAGGCAAGTCCTCAGAGCCCACTACATTGTTGGGGGAGGGGCGGTCAAGCAGCCCCCGGGAAGTCCGAGGATGACCGGCGGCCTGGGTTCCCCACCTGTCCTCCTCTGACCTTGCGCGGAGGCTGGGGCGCAGAGCTGGGCATCCCTCCCGAGGGTCCCTTACCCCTGCTCGCAGGCCCGCTGGCTACAGCTGTATCCAAAGCTTTCTTGGGGAAGGTGTCATTGGTCACTGTTGCCAGCAGGGGGAGCGCGAGCCTCAGGAATGGCCTCTGGGCACTGCATCCGGCCAGAGCAGGGCAAGGAGGCAGCAGTGGAAGCGCCAGAGTTGGGAACCACACAGGGGACGCCAAGTCTCCGCTTCAGCCTTCCTGAACCACCGTCCCTGCCCCCTGCACTAGAGCCTTTCACGAATTCCTTTCTTCAGAACCGTCCTCTCAGCTCCCGGGAGGTGGGGTGGGGGGTGGGGTGGGGGTCACTGCTGTGAACTTGGCTGGCTCTGGGGGTTCAAATGCTGAGAAGGGGTACGGGGGAGGGGCAGCTGGAGGAACATACCTCCTGGGAGGGGAGGTGGCCCCTGGCCCCTGGCTGCTCTTTCCGTCGAGTTCTGGTGGTGCCAAGGAAGCTGCTGAGCTGGGTGGGGCACCTGGGGTGGGGGTGGGGCTGGGCAGATGGTTGTGGGTGCTGGGGCCTACCAGAACCCCCGGGGAATGCCTGTTGCAGGGGACTGTGTGTTCTCACCCCTGGTTCTCGAACATTCTGCTTGCTGTAGTCACCGGGCTTTTTCTAGTGTTATCTGGGCTTTCTGAGAACGCCCATGTTAAAACCTATCACATCCCGGGCAAGCCGCGTTTACTTGTTTACTCACATGAGTCGGTTAACACGGTTCCAGCCCTCAAAGATCTGCTGATAAGAGAAAAAGAGAAACCTTCCTCCCTGCAGCCCCCCCCCCCGCACCCTCCCCCCATGGACGTGTACAGTGTGTCCGAAGACAGATGGCAAGAAATTGTGTGCAGAGTTCTAGAACTCCTTAGCACAAAAGAACAGGTGCAGAGTTTGGGCACCGGTGCAAAACTCGAGGGGGAAGCTCATCTTTTCATTTCTCCTCCTGGAGCACGGTGCTTCATCCGCCCAAGGTGCTCTTCCCCTGTGAGGGACATTGAACTTTATTGCCAGAACCATGGATTAACAGTTAAGTGCTGCCGCCCTGGTTTCTCCCTGACCATCCACCCACACCCACCCAACAGCCTAGGAACTAGGGCTTCCTCATCTCCCCACACTTTTGCACCTGACAGATTTTTTTACACAGACCTGGGCGTGCGGATCTATAAAAATAGATATGCATTTACTGACAATATCTCCTAAAGAAACTGATTACTGAGTTAGATTTCATCATTTTTTTCCTTTTGCTTTTTGGGTCACACCCGGCGATGCACAGGGGTTCCTCCTGGCTCATGCACTCAGGAATTACTCCCGGGGGTGCTCGGGGGACCATGTAGGATGCTGGGAATGGAACCCGGGTCGGCCACATACAAGGCAAATGCCCTACCCGCTGTGCTATTGCTCCAGCCTCTACTGAGTTAGATTTGAAACTATTTTTTCACGACCCCCACATTGAGTTACCGGGCCCCCTGTGGGGCCGAGAGGCAAGATTTGGAAGCCAGGCGTCCCTGTAATGCTCTGGACATGCTTGCAGGGGCTGGTCTGTACCTCTTCTGCCTTCAGTCAGGGGGCCATTGTATCCCTGTGGACCCCGGGAGATCCCAAGAGCGCCACAGGGTAAAATCATGGAAATCGGAGACAACTGGTAGAACAGGGAGTCTTAGAGGAGACACAGTTGGAAGGGGCCCCCGGTTGGAAAAAAGGTTGAGAGAAATTGCTTTATACTTTGCTCCTTCTTTTTATGCCTCATGTTTTAATTATGGGGGTTGGAAATGGACATCCTTATTGATATATTGGAGCATTGTGGGCCCTAGTCTTCCTTCCATGCCCGTCATTGTCACTCTTGTTGTATTTTAGGGAGCGGCTGGGATTTTAGAAGAGTCAGGACATGGCCCCGCAGGTAGGGCACTTGCCTGGCATGCAACTGGCCTGGGTTTGATCCCCGGTACCACATAGGAGTTGGTGCTGCCTGGCACAGATTGACGCAAACTGGCATGGGTTGGCATCTTCTGGCACAGACTAGAAAAGCCTGGCACAGACTAGAATAGCATTGTCCTGTAGCACTGTCTTCCCGTTGTTCATGGATTTGCTTGAGTGGGCACCAGTAATGTCTCTATTGTGAGACTTGTTGTTACTGTGTTTGGCATATTGAATAAGCCACGGGGAGCTTGCCAGGCTCTGTCATGTGAGCGGGATACTCTCGGTAGCTTGCCGGGCCCTCGGAGAGGGATGGAGGAATTGAACCCAGGTCGGCCGCGTGCAACGTCCTACCCGCTGTGCTATCGCTCCAGCCCAGACTAGAATAACCTAGCACAAATTGGCAGAGGTTGGCATAGGTCAGTAGTAATATGGGTTGGCACTGACTGGCATAGACTGACATGGTTCACACTGGCGGGCATAGATGGGCACCGATTGGCACTGCCTGACACAGGTTGGCTCTTCCTGGCACAGGTTGGCACTGCCTGGCACAGGATGGAAAACTTGCCAAGCTGGTATGGGTTTGCATGAATGTGCAGATGGCACAGGTTGGCACTGCTGGCACACACCACAGAGATTGGCACCATCTGGCAATAGCTGGCACCATTTGTCAGACTGGCATTGACTGGCACCTTTTGGTACAGACTGGCACCGTCTGGCACTGAGGGAGGATTTCTCTCGCTGGGACACAGGGGCAGCTTCTCACCGTTCCCTCCCCTTTTCTTCCTCATCCCAGCCCCGGGCTGGAGACGTTTTCTTGTTTTTTCCCTATGTTTACTTTCTCTGCTTTGCTTTGGAACAGTGTCGGCTTGGCTGCCAGAATATTATAGCACAGTGGGTAGGATGCTCGCCTGGCACGTGGCTGACCTGGGTTTGATCCCCAGCACTGCATATGGTCCCCTGAGCACCGCCGGGAGTGATTCCTGAGAGCAGAGACAGGAGGAAGCCTTGGGCATCAAGGGATGTGGACAGTCCCCGCCCCCCCAAATGTGTGGGCTTTTCTAAGATGGCAGCAGAGCCCCAACCTACTTTGGCCGGTCACTTCTTGGAGTGAGCAGTCCCTCAGTGGGGAGAAGGGTTGGAGAGAAGGGACAGGGGCTTGGTAAACTTTTCATGTGCTTTGATGACGATGGCAACAATGATAAAGTTTGTATCTGTAGCAGCCTGGTCCCCGCTAAGTGTTCTGCACACAGCACCTTGCTAGTAACGTTACTACACTGACTCTAGACGTGTTTATTATTAGCCCTACTTTCTGCAGAGCCAGTGAGGTCTAGGGCGGGAGAGGGGTTTGCAGCATCCTCTGATTTGCAGCTGAGGAACCGGCTAGGGTGGGCTTACCCACAGCACTTCCTGGCCTCTGGGAACCACCGCGGCCAGTGGAGATGGGGAGTCAGTCTCCCACTCCTGGCATGGCCGGCTCTCGCCAGCCTTCCTGCCCTGGCACGATGGGGTCACGCTTCTGCCTCCTCCCATGAGCTCCCTCTCATCCCCCTGCAGCCCCCTCCCCTCTCCCTCTGTGGGCCCGACTTTACCAAGGAGCTAGAAGCTAAGCTAAGAGTGTGGGCTGCAAACGAGGAAGTGCCGGTCAGAATGAGTCACAAACAGAAACTGAGAATTGACCAGGAGGGTGAGGCGCCTGTTCTTGGGGTCCTCCAGGCTGCCCTCGCTGACCACCAGGCTTCGTCGGGTGGCAAGAATGACCACCTGGGCTCTGCAAGTCAAGGGTCCCGGCACCCAACTCCCGGGCCCCCCCAGGACGCTGGTTTGCAGAAAGGGGCTGCAGATCTGTGGGATTTATGGGTCAGCTAACTGGGAGGTTGGGGTGGGACCGTCCCCCACCCTGCCCAGTCTGAATTTGAGGGAGTCGACTGAGCCTGGGGGAAGGGGCGGGGGGCCGCTACCGTGTGGTGACTTGCTGCCCTCTGTCCCCAGCAGCCGCAGACTCCATCAGCACCCTGGGTCTGATCCTGGGCGTGGGACTGTCCCTGCTGCTCGTGTCCATCCTGGGCTACAGCCTGGCCAAGTGGTACCAGCGCGGGTACTGCTGGGAAGGTGAGTGAGCACTGGACCTGTCACCTCGCGCTCCCGGGCAGCTGGCCAGGCCGGGTGGAGCCCCACTTCCCCCCGCACCCCCATGCCACACGGCATGCAAATGCGGTTCCGGGGGGCAGCCCCTCTGCTTGGAGACTTGAGGGCACTGCTGGGCTCTGGATGTGGCTGGTGGGGAGCGGGGGCTCCTCCCATAGGAAGCTGCCCCACCCCTGCCCGCCCCGGGCCCCCCCAGCTCCCTTCCTGCAGAGGCTGCAAGGGCCAGACCTGGCCTTCCTATAGTGACCCCTTATCTGCCTCTGCCCCTGTCTTTGCTCTCTCCGAGGTCCCCCTTAAGCTTGCAGGGGTTTCAGCTGCACTCGGGGCTTTCAGAACTCACTGGGGTGCCCCAACTCTGACCCACACCCACAAATCCCCAGGATTTGGGAGCACTGGGGCTGGGTGGGAGTGTGGGGTGTGGGGTAGCCGATAGAACTTGGGAACCTGCAGTTGATTTCAGCAGCTCTGCCAGTGCCAGAGAGACTGGGGCCAAGGCCCTTTCTTTGGTCTAAAATGGCCTTTAGCCTTCCAGAGACACAGGCCAGCGGGGAGGGCACTTGGCTTGCATGCAGCCGACCCTTGTTTGATCCCCAGCACCCTATAGTGTCCCCTGAGCTCACCAGGAGCGATTTGAGGGCAGAGCCAGGAGTGAGTCCTGAGCACAGCAGGGTGTGGGCTCAGAACAAACACACACACACACACACACACACACAAAATCAAAATAAAATTCCACCCAAGGAAGAAATTCCTAGTCTCCGTTTTAAAAAACATTTTTGTGTGGTGGAAAATGGGCACTGGCGGATGGATGGGTACTTGATCATTGTATAACTGAAACCCAAGCACAAAAATTTGTAAGTCTATAAGTGTACCTCATGGGTGTTTCACTAATAAAAAATAAATTAAAAAAATTTAAAAAAAATTTTTTTTAAGTTAGAAATCTTGCTATTTTAATGGGGCAAAATCTGGAATGCTTCACAGAGTTTGCGCATCCTCCTCGTGCAGGGGCCGTGCTAATCTCTGTACGGTTCCAATTTTAGTAGGTGTGCTGCCAAAATGAGCACTGCCCTCTACTTTTAATTGAGGGGAAACTGTGGTCAAAGCGATGGGCTTGGGAAAGGTGGGGCCAGGGGGAGGGGCTTCCGGGTCCAAGCTCAGGCTGGCACCGCCTCTGTCCAGGGCCATCGGACCCTCTGTGCTGCCCCCTTAGCAGTAGGGGCTGCCCTGGAAAGGCAAGGCTTCTGCCTGGATGGGGTCCGCCCGGGGCCTGCCTGGAGCAAGAAGCAGACACTGAGGCAATGCGGACTCCCCCAAGGCCCCGCTTCCCAGGCAGGGTGACTGGTGCCATGTCCCCAGGCACTAACTCTCTGGCTTCTCTCCCCAGGGCCCAGCTTTGTCTTCAACTTATACCAGATCCGGTGAGTGGGTCAGCACCTCTGCCCCCACCCCCCACCCCTCCCGGCCCACCGACAGGGCCAGGGCAGCGGCCCAGGCTACTGGGAAGTTCAAGGAACAAGAACAAGCATGGAGGGGCTGTGCCTGTCCCTAACGGGCGACCCTCTAGACACCCACCCCAGCACAACTTCATTCGGTCCCTCACTTCACTCATTCACTCATTCAGTCTCATTTATTCACTCACTTCATTCACCCACTTCCTTCATTGACTTACTCATTTACTCACTCATTGGCTTACTACTTCATTTGCTCCATTCATTCACTCCCTCATTCACTCCCTCCCTCCCCTCTCCCTCCCTCCCTCCCTCCCTCCCTCGCTCCCTCCCTCCCTCCTCTGACTCACTCATCTCTTCATTCCCTCATTCGCTCTCCCTCAGTGTTCGCTCCTCCACTGTTCTGTGTGGAAAGAACTGGTTGGAGCCAGGCCTGGACTACGAGTTTCTCAGGCTCCGAAGACGCCCGAGCACAGTCCGGTCTGCGTCTCCCTGTCCGCGTGGGCAGCGCCTGGTTACAAACCCAATCACACCAGACACAGCCTGGGTGAAAGGATGGAGCTCGGGAAGATGAGGGGGGATTGAGGGTGCTGCTCAGAACACTGACAGCATGTCCAGGGAGTGGGCTTCGGGTGGGGGGAGAAGCCCGGGCCCAGCCTGGGGTTTCAGGGGACCCTCTCCCACAGAAACCTGAAGGAACTGGACACGGCCCCCCCCCTTCACCATCAGCGGCCACATCGGCAGCCCCGACGGCAGCTACATGAGGTTCTCCGACCGGCTCGTCTGAGCCCGGGGCGGGCCGGCAGGTGAGTGGAATGCTGACACCTGCTGGGGACCCCCAGAGGAGTACAGCAGCGGTGGGTGTGCAGGAGGGGCACCTGTGACCACGACTGCACCCCCCCACCTGCCCCTGCTCTGTCCACTTTGTCCATGTCTGGCCTTTTCCCCCTTGGAATACGTTCGTTGTTTCCTCAGATGGAAGCTTCTGGAGTGTTTCAGCCTCAGCCTCTGTGAGGTGAAGGTGCCGGCAGGCTGCTCTCCCAGCCCATCATGGACTCCGTGTCCCCTAGTAACCCCCGTGTCCCCCGGTTCCAGCCCCCAAGCAGGGTGCCTCAGTGACACTCCTGCAGGGACCCCTCTGTAGCCCGGGAGGGAAAGGCGCAGGACTTGGGAGGGGGCACAGGTGGTCCTGGTTCGGGTCTGGTGACCTCAGGTGCGGGAATAGGGACGGCCACTGAGGGCCGGGAGAACGGAGGGTATTTCCCACCCTGGGATGGAGAACCGAGAGGGGCCGCTTCCTCTTTCAGGCCCTGACGCGCTCCCAGCCCAGCTCCCCTCATCCTCCCGGCCTAGCCTTCCCAGGCCGCCCCACGGCTCTGATGCTCTGAGCCAGCGCCTGGCCCCGGGACACGGCAGCTGTCTGCTCAGCTGGACTGGAGGCTCAGCGTCCATGGGAATGACTGGGGAGCAGCTGCCCAAAGCCTGGGCTCTGGAGGGACGCCCCACGCTCAGACCGGGGCTTCCCCTGAACCCTCTTGCTCCTCACTGCCCAGTCTGCTGCCGTGGTTAACCCCCCCCCCCCTGCGCACCCCCCACATCTGGCCTCTGAGCTCAGCTCACGCCACCCCCTCTGCCCCTTCCCTCTGGCCCTCCCTGATCCTCCAAACCTGCCACCACCGTGGGGATCCTCCGAATTCATCCCCTGATTGGCATGCCCCAAGCTGAAGTAACACCAACAGCGTGGTTCTTTAAAAAGTCTTATCTATTTATTTATTCATTTATTTTTTCTTTTGGGGTCACACCCAGCGATGCTCAGGGGTTCCTCCTGGCTCTGCACTCAGGAATTACTCCTGCTGGTGCTTGGGGGACCGTATGGGATGCTGGGAATCGAACCTGGGTTGGTGGTGTGCAAGGCAGACGCTCTACCCCACTGTGCTATTGCTCCAGCCCCCCAAAAGTCTTATTTTTTACGAAGTCGCTCATAGCTGGGCTTGAGACATGTCTCGCGATCACTGCCAGCTCCTCCACCTGGGTCCCCAGACTCCCTCCCTGACAGCCACCCCTTGGGCTGCCATCGCAACGGCAACTTTTTAAATTTGTGTCCCGTTTAGCTCTATCCTGCCTCAACACCACGGATGTGCCTGCGTCCCCCTGGCCCCTGTGTCCATGTTTCTCCTCTGTCTCCTCTCCCCCCACCCCGAACTGCCCCCAGCCACTGGATTCCTTTGCTTCTCCTCCCTGGACTCTGGGGCCAAGGGTGATCTAGGCATCCCCTCCTCCCCTTAAACCATTACATTTCTCCATCCAGTTATTCTAAATCCCACATATAATCCCACTGGCACAATTTGGAGGGTGTTTTGTTTTGTTTTGTTTTGTTTTGTTTTGGGTTTGGGTGACACTCAGCATTCAGGGCTTACTCCTGGCTCTGTGCTCAGGGATCACTCCTGGTGGCTGACCCTATGGGGCGCAGGGGATTGAACTTGGGTCGGCCACGTGCAAGGCAAACGTGCACTGTCCTATCTACTGTACTATCCCACTGCACGATTGCTCTAGCCCCTGGGACAGTTATTTATTTGTTTATTTTTGCTTTTTTGGGGGGGTCTCATCTGGCATTGCAAGGGGTTACTCCTGGCTCATGCACTCAGGAATCACTCCTGGTGGTGCTCGGGGGGACCATATGGGATGCTGGGAATTGAACCCAGGTAGGCCACGTGCGTGATAAACTCTCTACCTGCTGTGCTATTGCTCTAGCCCCCGCCAGTTTTCTATTTTAAAAAGCTTCTCATGATGGCTTTATCCCACTTTGGAGCAAAAAAGTTGGCGTAAGGTCTGCAATGGTCAGGCAGTGAGATATAACTGTGGAGAATCGGACACCTCCATTCCTGCCTGCCGCCCCCCCCACCCCCATCCCAGGCTGAGCCCCCTGTGGGCTGGGCTTGTCTCTATCTCTACTGACTGCAGAAGAGGGAGTAGCTGGGAGATAGCCCAGAAACGTTCCTGAGTAGAGAAGAAACAGCCCGAGTGTGACCGCGGGTGGTACTCAGGCTGTGTGCTCAGTTTGGGAACAGAAGGGGAAGTTTCAGCAGGCAGAGGGACAAAGGTCAAGGCAACCCAGGAACCTTTGTGGGTGAGGTTGGGTTCACCCGGAGGCATTTATTTCAGCATCTGGAAATGGAAGAGTTTTGAAGTTTCTTCCCTGCGGGAGGCAGGGCCCTATCTGTCTCTGAGCCTTGATTCTCCACAGGAAGGACGGGACCCGGCCCCGGGGCAGGTGAACAATAAACCAGGGATGGACAAGGGCGTGAGAAAGGTCTTGCTTCATAGCTGCTGGCCGGCCCACCCAGACACAAAGAGATGATGGACAGGTGACCATCATCTTCTTTAGTTTTCTGTCGCCCTGTCCAAGCCAGCAGCTCTGCTGAGCTGTGGGTCCCTAGGCCCTCCCCCCTCCTGTCTGCTGTCTCTAGGGCTCCTTTGTAGGGAGGGGGGGCTGGAAGCTGGGGATCCCTGGGCCCTGCCTTCCACTCCACGCGTCTCCCCAGTCTCCCCACCCCCCCACCTCTTCCTTTTCACTCCCCACAAGTCAATTCTTTCTTTTTTTTTTTTTTTTTTTTTTTGCTCTCCCTCCCCCACCAGCTCTCTTTCTCTTTGGGTCACACCCGGCAATGCACAGGGGTTAGTCCTGGCTCATGCACTCAGGAATTACTCCTGGTGGTGCTCAGGAGACCATACAGAATGCTGGGAATCGAACCCGGGTCGCCTGCGTGCAAGGCCAACACCCTACCTGCTATGCTATACACCCCTCCCCCCCCCAAGTCAATTCTTGATGATTCCCTCATGCTGGTGTTAGAGTCAGGAGTCGACCACCCCTCAAGGACAGAGAACAGAGCCTATAATGCAAATCACATAGCGAGGCTTATTGTTCCAGCTAGCTGGGGTCCAAGTATCCACCCGGTGCAGTGAGTTTCAACAAGGACCCCGAGCACTAGGTCCAGCAAGTCCTTTTTTGGTTTGTTTTTGGGTCACACTCAGCGATGCTCAGGGGTTACTCCTGGCTCTGCACTCAGGAATTACTCCTGGCGGTGCTTGAGGGACCATATGGGATGCTGGGACTCAACCCGGATCGGCCGCATGCAAGGCAAACACCCTCCCCGCTGTGCTATCGCTCCAGCCCCTCAGCAAGTTCTTATACTTTCAATTTGGCAAGTAAGCATTACTCAGCAAATTTCTATTACCTGTAGGGTACACATTTTTGGATTGTTGCTTTGGCCCACAACATCCAGCCCACTCCCTGACAGTTACATTCCGGAGACCTAATCTCATTCCAGGGATGTAATCTTGGACAAAAGCATCTGGCTTTTCTGCTTTTCTTGTTCCTGGAAGAGGCCTAAGTCACTCAGAGGCCCCCAAAGCCTGTCATGGCAGTTATCTGGCTAAGCGGGTCCTAACACCTGGGAAGCGGACCCCCCCCCCCACACCAGCCGGTACATGCTCACCACTGTTCGGGGGGGAGGGGCCCTCTTGCAGACCAGTGGTGGACCCTAGAATTCTGAGTCCCTGATGGTGCCTGGAGCGGCCCGGGAAGTGATGCCGGCTCTCTTACTCTCTTCAGGGATGCTTCACCTTCATCCCTGGTCCACTCTGAGGTGCTCCGAAAACTGACGCTTTGGATCTTTCCTGCCGTGTGCTGCCTTGCCCAGCCTTTGCTCACCAATGGCTACGGCTCCTTGACCAAGCACCCAGCCACTCTTTCTGCTTTCGATGTAACTTCGGGGAGTTGGAGGCCACCGGGAGGCTGAGCGGGAAGAGGTGGGGTGTGGGGGGTGGATGGCCGCAGTGGCTCTGACGGGGGAGAGGCCAGGGAGGCGACTTCTGTGGCTCCCCTGTCTCTTGGTGCAGAGGTGGGGGGCTGAGCACCTCTGAGAAGGCGCCCCCAGGGGTGCTGCTCCTCTGTTCTTCAAACCTGCTTCGCCGTCAGTCAGGAGCCTTCTCTGAGCGGCGGTCTTGAAGCAGCTCTCGTACAAAACAGGAAGTCGGCGGCTTGGCGACCTCACACTTGGGAACCCGAAGTGAAAATATTCTGCCTCTGCTCAGAGGCGCCAAAACACAGGTGGGGTCGAACCGGGGCGCCCATCTCTGTCTGGGTTTGCGCTGCAGGTTGGTGGACAGTGTCCACCCAGACCCAAAGTCTCGGGAGCGGCTTCCCCACCACGCAGACTGTGAGCCCAGGGGCTGAGGGGGAGCTTGTGTGGGAAATAAAAGACGCCTCATCTGCTTAGCCCCATCCCCTCCCGGTGACTTTGCACCCCAGGGCCGTGCGTGTCCCAGCTCCAAGGCGGTTATGGGGAGGGGTGGGGTGGGAAGGGGCAGGACGGGGAAGTGGGCTGAGGAACACTTGCATGTGTGCACCTGCGTGCTACAGAGGACCACAGGGGTCCCTGCTCTGTTCCCACAGGGTCTGCCCCAGCGGCAGGTGCCCGAGGGGCACAAGCTGAAGGAGTGGGCAACTGCCCAGTGAATATTTTCACGGTCCTCTGCTGACCGCCCGCCCACATCCTCGCTTTAAATTTCCTGTTTGTTCGGTAGACCTGCATCGCTGTGATACCCTTGACTGCCGGTGATAATCGCAGGGTGCGGGGTGCGGAGACATAGCACAGGGGCTAAGGAGCTGGTCCTGCCTGAGGCTGACCCAGGTTCCATCCCCAGCACCCCTATGGGGTCCCCAGGGTCCCGCCAGGACCTCTCGGGGTAGGAGAACTTGCCAATCCCGGTTGTGCTGGACCAAGATTTCGTTGCTTCTGTACCAGGCCCAGGACCACACGCCCCGCTGGGTCAGAAGAACGAAGGGCCGGGGCAGGAGTAGGGGCAGCGAGGAGACTGGGTGGGGTCTGCTGTCTGGGGCGCAGGGGTTACAGCCACCCTTGCACCCTTGCGCTTTGGAGGGGAGCTCTGGGGGCCTGTTTGCTGGAGCAGGTATGGGGTGGGATTCGGGGGAACGGGAGAAGGGGAACGGGGCAGAAGCCTGATCAGTCTCATGCAGGTGGTACTTCGAGAAGTCGGGGGTATGAGGTGGGAAGGGGAGGGGTGAGGATAATGGGAGAAGGTAGGCGTGGTCAGAGTTGTCTACCCAGACGGATTTGCCCACATCTGCTCTTGGCCTCCCAGCCCTGAGCGGCCAGATGTCGCTGTCTGCAGGATGCAAAGGGCTTGGGGCCCTTCCAGCTGCCACTCAGGGTGGAACACGGGGCCCCATCCCTGTGTGATGTATCCATGTATTCAGTCCCGGGCATCAGCACCTGCTGGTCTCCTAGGCAGCCAGCCCCCTCCAGGGACCCATGTCCGCATGCAGTGTGGTCCTGTGCAAGGCCTTTCAGCTGACATGAGTCCTGCAAGCTACTCCCCAGGGGCCGCTACAGGGGCGAGGGAACCTTCTAGAAACACCCTCCTGCTGATAGGGACCAAAGGGGAACAGGCAGGGTGAGATTCCGAATAGGCCCTAGACAAAGGGAATCATGGTATGGAATGTCACGAGGCGGCCCAGGTGGGGCCTGGTGACCTGGATGACCTCGGTCCTGCTGGACATCAGTTGAGAACCATCTCGGCGTCCTGTTCCATTTTCATGGCCCACATTCTTGGAATACACACATACACACACACACGCTCATAAGCCTCTCCCTTTGTTCAAAAGGTATGAAAGGGAGATTCCTGCCTTTCTCTGGGGACCTTCTCCTTCTCTGGAGACGCTCCCCATTATCCGGGAGCTCCTCAACTTTCATTGCCCTCTCTGTCTCTTTCCTTAAAAGTCTTTTCTGAATTTTGCTGTTCAATCTCCGATTGATTTCCTTCTTCAAATCATGACGTATGGAGCTTAAGTCAACAAGTCAACAGTTTCACTTCTTGCCTTTCCCTGGCCTTCTGCCTCCCGCTGCCCGCTGCCATGGGCACGAGGGGGAGGTTCGGACCAAGCTGACAGAAAGGAACATCGGAAGGACACTGCACAAACCCAAAGGCAGCCCAAACTGAGAACTGGTCTTTAGTAGGAAGCAGACCACTATCGAGGGGGATAGGGGCGGGGACAGCACAGGAGTCGGGGGACGTGGGCAGGGGCGGCCGACACTCGGGTGGAGGGTGTGGGGTTGGAATGTTTTCTGCACGAAACCCTGCCGTTATCAATACTGTACATCGTGATGCCCAAGATAAAATAAGATGAAGTGGATAGGAAAGGGACTCCGTCATTCATAAGACACTGAGTTTCCAGCCGTGGATCCACGCTGGCAGAAAGAGTGAGAAGACAGAAAATGGGTGAGTCACGCCTCCCACCACAGCTCGATCACATCAGCCCCTCACCCCCCTCACCTACCCCCATCCCCCACCCCTCCTCCTGCACTGTCCCAGGTGGGCACTGCCTCCAGCTTCCTCTTCTTTGCCCTTCACCTGGGGGCATCGGCTCAGAAACTCGTCCCAGTGTGATCAGAGATGGGCTGCGTCTCTGGGGCGGGTGGAGGGAGGGGAGGAAACCCCTGTTGGCTGCCCAGGGCAGCTGATGTCCACAGTCGGGAAAGCACAGTGGGAACCAATTTCCTCTTGGGTGATGTCAGCCGTTTCCCCTCTCTTGGAGGGGGAGGAAGTTCCATTCGCACACAGGAACCTGACTCCCTCATGGGAAAACCCTCAAGGCTGATGCCATCCCTCAAGCCCGGCTCCTGGGGGGATTTTCACCCGAATTCCTGAGAAGTCCAAACACGTCACTGGCTGGTGGTTGGGAAGAACCATCTCTTCTCTGTCTGACATAAAGAATCTCTCTCCCTCTCCCTCTCCCTCTCCCTCTTTCTCCCTCTCTCCCTCTCTCTGTCTCTCTTCTCCCTCTCTCCCTCTCTCCCTGTCTCTCCCTTTCTCTCCCTCTCTCCCTCCCTCTCCGTCTTTCTCCCCTCTCTCCTCTCTCTTCCTCTCCCTTTCTCCCCCCTCCCTCTCCCCCTTTCTCTCCCTCTCTCTTCCTCTCCCTCTTTCTCCCCCTCCCTCTCCCCTCTCTCTTCCTCACCCTCTCTCCCTCTCCCTCTCTCCTTCCCTTCTCTCTCTCCCCCCTTCTCTCTCAACTCTCCACCCCCCCGCCCCTCTGCCTCCTTGGATTCTCAGTCTTGACATCTTGACATTCAGGGTTGCACGTCTTCACCCAGAGCTTTTTTTTTTTTTGCGGGGGGGGGGGAATGCCTTCTCTCTCCATCCTCCCTTTGGGGAACCCATCAGCCCCTCACCTCTTCTCGGCCTGATAAGGGGCCCCCGGGCCAAGAATCTGCACTGTGGGATGTGGGTCTGTGAAATTAGTCAGATTCTCTGAAGATGATAGGATCTTCACTTCCCCAGAACGGGTTGCTTCCTCAGAGTGATACAGGGCCAAGGGACAACGTGTCCCAGGTCACCTCTTCAGGACCAGCTGCCACAGCAGTGCACCAAGGTGCAGGCCAGCCTGCCCCCCTCTCCTCCCCGCCCCCAGCTGCACGTGGGGACCTTCAAGCCCACATGTGGCTTTTCGTGGAAGGTGCAAGCTACTTTCAGAAGCAAAGACTGACAACTTCCGCACCCCGGGGACACCTCGGGGTGGGGGGGGGGGCGTGGGTCCTCATCTTCCCGGAAGAGAGAGAGAGAGAGAGAGAGGTTGGCAAGAGGTTGCTGTGAGCAACCCTGCTGAGCAACTGTACACACACACACACACACACACACACACACACACACACGCACAGAGCAGTGCTTCGCCCACACCTCAGCTGACCCTCACATCGTCACCAGCACATTCTCAGGGGCTCGTTCATTCACGTCCCCCGTCCCAGCACGCTTTCCCTTTCCCTTTTGTGGCCGATCTCTCGTGAACCCCACACACGGGCCACGTGAGGAGTCCTTTGCTCTGGATCTTGCTCAACCTACAGCAACTCAGGGTCACCAGGCCCCGTTTCAGTCCCGGGAGCTGCAACGGAGCAAAGAGGGGGAAAAAATGATTTCACCAGAGACACAGAGCTCAGGTCAGCCCAGGGGGACCGGCCCCCCTCTGTTGAGGGACACAGGCCTCAGGGTCAGCCCGGCCCCAGGGAGCGGATGATCTATGACCTAGGACAGTGACTTCCAGAAGCGTGCAGGGGTCCAGACACACTGGAGACAGAAGTAAAACCAGCAGAGTCTTCAACTTCCGGATAGCAGCCTCTTTAATAAATAAGTGAGCAAATAAATAAATAGCCCTTTCAGAGGACCCCTGAGAGGCCCTTCCCCTCCCTCAGCCTCATTCCCAGAGGCAGCTGTTTTGGGACTGGCCACTGCTAAGAGCCATAGGACAGGGCAGAGGGGTCCTGGCTAGACCCTTCCTAGAATGCCCTGGGGAAGGCCGGGGTCATGGCCCAGATCTGGTTGCAGCCCCTGGGCACAGCACTGGGCTTCCTGCTGGCGGGTTCACCCAGTGTCCACTGCCCCCCAGTTCCCAGCCCAGGGACAGACAGCTGGGGTCACTGAGATGGAGAAGGGGCTCCATCCTGGGGGTCTGGAGCTGGACACGAGCAACTGGTGCCCAGGCCCACCTGCGTGTAGGGTCTGACCCACTCACGCCAATGGCTTCTCTGGGCAGGGTGAGAGGAGGGGCCAGCCTGGACAAGGTGGTGCAAATGAACAGGACAGGAGCACGGCCAGCCCCCTCTGGGGCTCAGCTCCCACGTGCCAGTCACAGATGCTGAGAGGGCAGGGGCATGGTGGACATGGGCTGGGAGTCTCTGCCAGGCAGAGGGGGGAGCTGCTAGGTGTGTCGGTGGAGGGGGAGTATCCCCAAGGACTCACTCCAAGCTGGCGGTCAGCTCAGACCACCCAGAATCCACACTTGGTCTCTGCTTCCTCCCCTGCACCTATACATGTCCCTTACAGAGAGGCCCTGTAGCATCCATGCTCAGGAGCACGACACCAGGGGCTAAGGCTGACCCCTTTGACACCAGGAGGCTAAGACTGGCCCCTCCGACACCAGGGGGCTAAGGCTGGCCCCTCCGACACCAGGGGGCTAAGGCTGGCCCCTCCGACGCCAGGGGGCTAAGGCTGGCCCCTCCGACGCCAGGGGGCTAAGGCTGGCCCCTCCGACGCCAGGGGGCTAAGGCTGGCCCCTCCGACGCCAGGGGGCTAAGGCTGGCCCCTCCGACGCCAGGGGGCTAAGGCTGGCCCCTCCGACGCCAGGGGGCTAAGGCTGGCCCCTCCGACGTCAGGGGGCTAAGGCTGGCCCCTCTGACACCAGGGGTCTAAGGCTGGCCCCTCTGACACCGGGGGCTAAGGCTGGCCCCTCTGACACCAGGGGGCTAAGGCTGGCCCCTCTGACACCAGGGGGCTAAGGCTGGCCCTTCTGGCAGACTACAGCCCCTCAGCCTCCCCGCAACGCAGAGCTCCTAAGAGCCCCCTGGGGGATGTCCTGACCGACCCTGTCAGATTTCCTAGACAGCAGCCCTGGCCACCTGACCCCGAGGTCAGTGGCCCCTGCCCAGGCACTGGAGTGGAAGCAGGGCCTCAGCCACAGTCACTCATCCACACGCAGGCTGGAGATGAAGGGCAAGGAGGCCAGCTCGGAGTCCAGACTACCCAGGAGACCCCCGTGGGCAGCCACGCTCTCCAGAGGGGCCAGGCCACAGGCAAAGCTCCAGTCAGAGGCACCCAGGTCCCCACAGGTGGTCAAGGTGAGGAGAGACCACCCCTCGGTGGGGTGACTCCACTGTTCAGAGGAGGCCCCTGTGGGCACAAGACTCCGTCCTGAAGCGTCCTGTTTCAAGTAGCCCTTGGTCAATGCTGGTGGCGTCTGGTCGACCTCAGCCTCTAGGCACGTCTGGAATTTGGGGTCGAGGTCATCTGGGGAGTAGGACTCCTCCTCCAGGCAGTCCACCTGGGCTGCCTTCTCCTCGGTGCCTCTGGTCTGTTTCAGGTAGCCCTGGAAGGTCACGTCAGTGGGGTATTCCTCCCCAAGCACCCCAGGTCCTGGGGGGTCAACATGGTCCGAGGCCGAGCCACCCTGGTCGGGTGCAGGCTGCTCCTCAGAGCCGTGTGTCAGGCCAACGCCACTGTCATCCTGGCCCCGACTGTCGTCATCCTGCTGCAGCTCCCAGGGGGGCTCCAAGCCGAGACCCAGGCTGGGCTCCTGCAGGCAGACGCCACTGTCGGTGCTGCCATCACTGTGGAGCTCCTCCAGGGAGGCCCTCTTTCCCAGAGGGCCGCGGGCCTTGGGGGTGGCAAGGCCGGGGGTCTCTTGTGACTGCAGGGAGGGCCTGACGCTGCCAAAGCCGCTGTCGGTGCTGGTGTACAGCTCTGAGTCGAATAGCTTGGGGGTATCCTGTAGGAAGGTCTCCGAGTTCAGGGGCTGGATGGGGTCTGGGTGCGGGAACTGGCTGACAAGGCCAAGGGGGCCCGGCTTCTCGAAGACCTGTGAGCAGAGCAGAGAGTGAGGGGCTGGAGGGCCAACTGGGGGAACCCGCCTCGGGGGGTGGCCAGGGCAGGCCCTGGTCAGGAGGGAGCCTGGGGGAGGTGCTTCCGAGCAGAGCACTGCAACTGTTATTCCTGCCTGCATAGGCTGCAGTTCCGGGCAGAGCACAGTAACTGTCATTCCCATCTGCGTAGGTTGCAGTTCTGAGCAGAGCACTGCAACTGTCATTCCCGCCTGCATAGGTTGCAGTTCTGGGCAGAGCACTGCAACCGTCATTCCCGCCTTGTTGTATGATCCTTTTCCACCCACTGGGTTCTGGCCCAGACAGAAGTTTGGGTCCCCAGAGCCTGGAGGGCAGCAGGGAGGCCTGTGGGCAGCTTTTTTAGGGGGCTCTGAGCATCGTCTCATTCACCTAAACCTTGAAGCACGTGCCAAACTCTTCAGACTTTGACCCCCAAATACGAAACAGGATCCCTACTAGCCCATCAGTATAAAACTCAGTATATAATCAAGGCCCATTCCACAAATAATGCTTGTTACTTGTGCACCAGGTAGGGTCTAGTCGGCCCTGTTCTGCCCTGGGCAGATCTCCTGCCTTCTTCTGTCCCCGTCACTCCCTTCCAACCTGCTTTACTCACTTTATTGATTTTGGGGCCACACTCTGTGGTGCTCAGAGCTTACTCCTGGCTCTGCATTCAATAATAACAATTGTGGGGCTTGGGGACCCTGTGGGGTGCTGGGAATCAAACCCAGATTTGCTGCATGTGAAGCAAACATGTTGCCTCTCTCTCTCTCTCTCTCTCTCTCTCTCTCTCTCTCTCTCTCTCTCTCTCTCTCTCTCCCCTCATTTCATTTTGTTTTCATTTTTGGGCCACACCTGGTGATGCTCAGGGGTTACTCCTGGCCACACACTCAGGAATGACTCCTGGTGGTGCTCAGGGAACCATATGGAATGCTAGGGATTGAACTAGGTCTGCTGCATAAGAGACAAGCACCCTCCCCGCTGTCCTATGGCTCCAGCCCCTCAGTTCTGGACTTTGTTCCTGGTCCAGGCTGTTCACAACCCAGTTCTAGGCAATTTCTCCATCAACAGTTTCACCCCAGCATTTTCAGCACTTTGCTAAAGAGCCATGGAGGCAAGTTCGTGGTAGAAGGAACATTCAAGGGGTGCCACGAAACATGAAGAAAAAGGCAAACACCCAAAACTCGAATGTGAATATATTACAAGACCAAAGGCACCGTCCCAACACGTGTTCATAAGCGTGCCTAGGTCCACGCCAGGCTTTTCCTAAGGGCAGCTGCACGGTCTCCCTATTTTCGGGTGTGATTAAAAACTCTTGTGAGGGGTCGGGGGTGCATTTCTTGGGGCCTGGACTTGATATGCATGTCAACGAGAGAGGAAAAGTCGAGGGAGGATGGGCCTTTGCCGAGCGCTGCTCTAGGAGCTGCTTCGGGGACAGATGGAACGTGAGTACTCAGCGTTAGTCCTTCCTTTTCCAGGTCACGGGCCAAGTGGCCTGTGGCTTAGTCCAGGCCCAGGGGCTGTTAGTGAGTGGTGAAACTGCCGACGCGAAACTGCAAACGCAAGAAACTCGCGTTGCAGTGGACTTGGACTGTGCTTGCGCCCTGGCCTTGGCCCGGGAAAACCCTGGGGGAGGGGGTGCACACCACTGGGGAAGGGGCTGCCCAGCCCCCTTGGGCGTGTGCTGGTGTGGTAGGGGGCACAGGGCCAGGGGGGAGACTCACCAGGGCTGCCGGCAGCTTCCCGCCACCACGCACATAGAGCTGGAGGCCCAGGCACATGGCCGGCGCCCCGCAGAGCAGCAGGACAAAGACAAAGAAGATGATGAGGTTGCTGGCCGTGAAATCTGCAGACCAAAAAGGACATTACACCCTGCACGTCCAGGGCCCACCCAGGAGCCACCCCATAAGCGCTGTGGAGGGACCCTGCACCCCACCACCACTACCACTATCAGCCATCTGGATCTACAGTGGTGGCCAGGATGGGGGTAATCGCTCTCCTAACTCAAAGCCCAGCCCCAGGGGGGTCCCGCCCTGGACACGTGGACTCTGATCCGAGCTGTGCATGTCAGCACTCGGAGGCCACTGGACACAGCAGGTAAGAACATGGAGGTAGGGCCAGAGCAATAATAGCACAGTGGGTAGAACATTTGCCTTGCACATGGCCCACCCGGGTTCCATCCCCTCCATCCCACATGGCTCCCTGAACACCGCCAGGAGTGATTCCTGAGTGCAGAGTCAGGAGGAACCCCTGAGCATTGCTGGGTGTGATCTCCGCACACCCCCCCACTAAAAAAAAAAAAGAATATGGAGATTTTGGAGGCCCCAAGTGGCCATGAGACCGCACAATGGACTCAACTTCTCTGAGCCTCAGTTTCCTCCTCTGTGAAGGGGAAAATGAATAGCGTCTGCGACCTAAGCTGCTGGTGATGTACCAGCCCTCAGAGCGGGCTTTAGACGCCTGGTCCTTTCGCCACGAGAGTGGGCAAGGGGGAGACTACTGTCTCACCTTCACGGGTGTTTACAGGTGAGAGGTCAGTGGGAATGCTGGGACCCGCCCAGACCTGTGTGCACCTTGCTTTCTTCTAGGAGACAGTGGATGGAGAAGTTCTCGGGGTGCTGGACATTCACACCAATGGTGCTTTACTCCCCGTAAGGGAGAGTGAGGCTAAAGTGACAGCCCTTGGTGCATCCTTCCTAAACGGAAGTGCCCCACACCCTGCGCCCCTTGGAAGGTAAGGCACCACCTTGGCCTTTGCTGGGTGTGGCCCGCCCTGGACTGGGCATGCGCGCCATTGCTCTGGCTGCTGGCACCATTCACCCCCTGAGCTGTGGGGTGCACTGAGACCACCCCAGCCAGGCCCTCTACCAGCCCCCCCCCCCCGATCCTGCCTGCCTCCAGCTGGGGTGACCAGTCAGCACTGGTCAGCTTCCTCTGAAGCTGGGAGAAGGGCCCTTGGCTACCCCACTCCAAGAAAGGAATGTAACAAACAGGAAGTACACAGCTGAGTTGGGGTTCCTGGGGCCCTGTGCTAGTAGAAGCACTTTTTGTTTTGTTTTGTTTTAAGTGTTTTGGGCCATACCCGATGATGTTCTGGGATTATTCCTGGCTCTGCCTTCAGGAATCCTGACGAGCTTGGGGGACCACCTGGGATGCCTATGTGCAAGGCAAACACCCTGCCGCTGTCCTATTGCTCCGGCCCAGAAGCACCCATTGAACTGTGGGGAGCGCTGGCTTTGCCACCGGGCCCCAGTAAACTGTGTCTGCACCGGGAGTCTCAGGGCCTTCTTCTAAAAAGGGGGCAATACTGTAGGGAATGGGAGAGACACTCAAAGGGCTGAGGCAGGTCTAGCACATGGCACCCTGAGTTCCATCCTCAACCCTGCAGAGTCCTCCAAGCACTGCCAGGCGTGATCCCCAAGCACTGAGATGGAAGTAGCCTCTGTTTACTGCTGGATGTGGCTCACCCCCCAAAAATAATTACAAGAGGCAGTCTATGCTGTTACTCAGAACTGTGGCGGGGGGGGGTGCAGAGGTCACCCCTGGGGGTTTCTGGCTTGCTGCCTGGCACAGGCACTCCCCCTCATGGGTACCGGATGGATGGTCCTCACGCCACCCCACATACACTGCTGGACGAGCACCACGCACTCCTCTGGGGACCACAGCCCTGGGTTCACACGGGAGCTGATGGACGGTTTCACCTTGACACAGAACTCTCCCACTTCTCCGTTCATGGCGAGGCGGAAGATTTCTTTCTGTTCTGTCTTCTCGATGTACTGCAGGAGAAATGACAAATGACACCCGCTGTGAGCGGAAGCCCGTGGCCAGACCTGGAGGCGCCGGAGCACGAGGCATCCTTGTTCCTAGATAAACCCCCTTTAGCCCAGTGGCCTCAGCACGGTGCCTTCAGGGTGGGAGGAGGAACGGAAGTACGTTTTGGAACCAAGGGTCTTTTCCAGGTTGGGGAGGGGGCGCTGCAATTTGTAGATTTCACGTCTCCCACCCATGGAGCCTCTTTGGGCCTCATTTCCCCACTGACGGGATAACAGAGCTGCCTGCAGAGGGGTTAGGACAAAATCTTCCCATGGGGGCCTGGGACGGGCTTAGGAGCAGAGCACAGGCCCTGCGTGCCCTGGGTTTGATCCCCAGCACCGCAGACAGAAAAAGCATCTCAGGAGGGGTAGTGCCTGCCACCCGGAAGGGAGAAGCTGCCTAGGACGCCTCACCGTGTTGGGCTCTGGCACCTTGCGCACGGAGACCGTATACTCGCGGAAGTAGGGGAAGATGCTTTCGTAAGTGTCGCCCGCGGGTGCGGCCCGGGGCCTGGGGGGCTGGATGGTCCCAAGGATGGAGCCATTCTCCACTTCCAGCTTCAAGCTGCCAATGGTCAGTGTCACTGCGGGGAGGAACAGACGCATGAGGCTGGAGGGGACTGGGCACCCCACCAAGGCCTGACTTCCAGGGAGACCCAGATTCTTACCTCTCCCAGACTATAGAACGTAAGGGCTTCGGGGGGGGGCAAGCTAGAAGTATGGGTGCTGCAGGCCACCCCAGACAGATGGGATCTGGCGTTTGGAAGCTGGTCCCGGAAGCTCTTGCTTTAAATGGGTATTTTGAAATACCCACTCCCTGGGTATTTCAGTGGTCGGGCCAGCTGGGGCCTGGGAGCCAGGGAGCTCCCCGCCAGTGAGTTCTAGTTAGAGCTGGGGTCTGCAGAGCAGGCTTGTGGGTGCAATGGGGGACCCCGTCATGTCTGGGGGGGGGGCGTTCATCTTTTCTCTTATCGCTACAGAGAAAATGCCAAACTTTTCTCATGCCTTTCTCGTGCTCTAGCAGGCACACCCAGACTCCTGCAAGTAGGTCCCTAAGCCGGGTGTGGGGGAGGGGCTGCTCCCCATTCTGCTGACCCCAGCGCTTCCTCTCCTGGCGCCCGGTCTCGGTCTCCTGACTCCACAGCTGCGGCCCACCCTCCGCTTCTCTTCCGTGGGACCAACGCCGCCAGTTCCCTTTTTCTTCTCACATCTTTGCATGACTCGGCTCTATTTCATTGGGAACCAGCTCCTGAGGGTGCCCTCGGGCCAAGAAGGGCCCCCCTTGGTCAGGGAAGCTGAGCTAACAGTGTCTGACTCAAGGGACAGAGAAAAAACCCAGACTTGAGCCTCTAGTTAGCCCAGGGGAGGAGAAGCACCTTCATCAATGGAGAAACGGGTGAGGGTGACAGTCCAGTTGGAGCGCTGGCTTCCGTCCACTGCCCGAACTTTGGCCCAGTAACTGGTGGTGTGATAGAGGTCCAGAGTGTCCATGGTGAGGTCACAGGACTGCGCCCGCATCTGGCTGCAGCTGGGGACAGGTTTCCAGTACTTCAGGCCATACCTGGGGAGGGACACGGCCACCGGTATGAGAGGGCAGACGGGGCAGGGGCTGGGGGACAGTGCCCAGTCCTCTGAACCTTCCTCTCATCCTCCTTGCAAGAGGCTCCCTGTGCGTCTGGGACTCTTCCCAGTTCCCCCGGGATGGCAACAGCCATTTCTCAGCCAGAGGCCAGACGCCTCCTCCCCTAGTCTACGGGAATCACAGGTAAAAGTCGCATGGGGGGCCAGGAAGGAAACAAGGGCAGAGGGACGGTGGCTGGAAGAAGGTAGAGAAACACCGGCCTGGGCTCAGGTCCCAGCCTTCCAGGCGACCCCGTCCCCTCCCCCCACACCCCTGTCTGACCTCTCCCTGCTTCCAACGACAGGTGGGTTCCTGGTGACCCGGATGTTCTCCCTGCCTGGTTCTGCTTTTTACTATGATGGCAACCCCTGTCCCTTGCCCTTCTCGCCCTCTGCCAGCACCCCACTCAGCTCCTGGAGATGCAGGCAGCGCCCGCCCCCCACCCCCCACTCCCCACCCCCTCCTGTCGCCTCACCTCAGGACCTTCACCTCGTAGTAGATGTTTTGGGACTGACTAGGAATGGGTTTCCAGTGGAGAACGTGGTGGAAGAACTCTGCTTCAAACCACACCAACTTGGGGCTGGGCAAGCCTGTTGGGGGAAGAAGGGGTGGCATTAGGGGCAGCAGAGAGCAGCCCATTGGCATCCTGGTGCCCGCAGCCACACGCTCTGCCAGACCCTTGACCCGCGTATGGTCCCATGTAGTAATGGCGACACCTGCCATTTCCATGTGAGCTGACAAGTCATGAAGGTTCGCAGAGGTTGAGTGGCTGGTTCAAGGTCTTGGGGTGGGCGAGGCTGATTTCCAAGCCCAGCGAAGGGCTGTCAGTGTCTGGAGGCCGGGAAGAGCAAAGCCTGGTCTGCTGCTTCCCCGGGGCGCAGACCCAAGCCAAGGCCCCTCGCATCCCCAACCCCCCACCCCAAAGCTCAGAAACCCTGCAGGACGCCTTCTGCTTCTTGCTGCACGCAGAGCTGGCTACAGCCCCCAGCCCAGTTCTGGCCCCGATTTCCATACTCTGAAGACAGGACTTTCCCTAGAGCTAGCCCCTGGTAGCCAGGGCCAGGGGGCAAGGGCATCTCTAAGAACCAGCACCCTGTTGCCAGGTGAAGCTGCTGAACACCAGCCAGGAGATGCCCAGCCCCGAGACCAGCCTCAGCTTCAGAACCTCACACTCGCCCTCTGTACCTCACTGCACCTGTGGGCAGATGCGGCTGCTCAGCCCCTGGCTCAGCGGGCACAGCTGGTGGGGCAGGTGCCCAGTCAGGTCCCCAGGGGCAGGGCTCAAAGTGGTTCCCCTTCCCCACCACCTCCATTGGTCCCTAATGCCCCCCCCTCCCCGCATCCCCACTGCCCCAAGGATGGCAGCTCAGCAGACCCCTGTTTGTCCCTATCCCTCACTCTCTGACTTGCTGGGGACCATCTGATTCTCACTTTTGGATTGCAAAACACCAGACGGGAAGTAGCAACCCCGGCTGTGTCTGCGGGGTCTGGGCTGTGTGCCTGGGGGAACTGTGTTCCCACCTCAACTCTCAGCTCCCCCCCCCCCCACACACACACACTCCCAGCCCTTCCCTCTTTTCGCCCCCTTTCATGCCAAGTTTCTGCAGCTGGGCATGACCGCGAGAGAGAGAACCCTCCCCTCCCTCCCGGGAGAGCCCAGGAGGGGGGGGTGAGAGTGAGAAAGGAGGAGATGAACCGGGGCTGAGAGTGAAGAAAAGGGAAGGGAGAGGGAGAGAGATACCTCAGGCTAAACTGGGGTGCCAGGAAGGTGGGGCCGAAGGGGCAGCCAGGTCCTTGCCCAGCGGGACACGGAGCCCCCCAAAAAGACCAGAGCAAAAGTCCAGTTCAGGGGAGCTGGGGAACGAGACTAGAGACGGCTGCCTCGGTAGCCCCGCGGGCCCCGGGGAAAGCTGGGCAGGGCCGGGCAGGGCAGGGCAGGGCAGGGCAGGGCAGGGCAGGGCAGGGCAGGGCAGGGGCGCGCCTTACCATGCGCGCGGGCGCCGGCGCGCGGGCCCTGCAGCAGCGCGGCCAGCAGCACCAGCAGGCTCAGGAGCATCGTCCGCGCGCCGCATCCTCAGCCGCTCCTGCCGCGGCTCCGCGGGGCCCCCGACTGGGCTGAGCAACCCCTGCCGAGCCCGCCCCGAGCGCCCGAGCGCCGCCCGCCCGGCTGACGTCAGTGCCGCCCGGCCAGCACCGCCCCCGGGCGGACAGGGATGCGTGACCGTGGGCGGGGTGGCGGCCAGCTTACCCCTTTCCTGCCGCTGTGACCGCAGCCAGGGGCAGCCTGGCCCCCTGGGTGCCGGCGTTGGTGCAGATGCGCCAGGCGGGGATGAGGTCCCGGGTCCAGCCCCTCTGAGTTAGGGGCCAGAACCTGCCTGGGCGCATGTGGTTTGTGCAAGGACCCTGCTCTGTTCAGTGTTACCTGGGCACCGCCGGGTCAGGCTCAGAGAAGAACCAGCGGGGAGAGAGGGGATTCACCGATCAGTATGTTTGAGGGGTGCCCAGGGCTTCCCCTCTCCCTGGGGCTCTCCCTTGCTCCCAAGTTTTTTTTTGGGGGGGCACCCCAGCTATGCTCAAGGATTACTCTTGGCTTGCAGTGCTCAGGGGGCCATTGGGATGCCGCATGCAAGGCAAGCGTCCTACCTGCTGTACTATCTCTCCAGCCCCAAGTCCCGGCGACTTTTTTCGTCTTGGGAAAGTGATTCTGCAGAACCTGTGGGACACTTGCTTTAGGCCTACAGGTGGCAGGGACAGGAGGTAGCTCTGCTCTGAGGGTGGGCTGGGGCAGAGACACTTGTCCAGCATGTGGGGGCACCCTGTATGAGGGGCCACACTGGGACTGCAAAGGCCTCCCGTCTCCATGGTGGTCAGCAAAGGTCAGGGGTCCCCCAGCCCCTCGGAAAGTGCAGAGGGGTAGAGGCATGGTCAGGCAGGGGCCCCGGAAGTGGACAGCCCCCGGATCACCCCGGGAGCAGTGGGCAGGAGAGGTGCAGGCTTGACAAGTTTCCTTTTTCCTTTTTCCATTTGGTTTTTAGGCTGCACCCTGGGCTTCCTCCTGAGTGCACTCGGGTCACTGCTGGTGGGGATCAGGGGACCATATAGGGTGCTAGGGCTCGAACCTTCTCAGTCCCAGGGTCTGAGGAGTTTGTGTACCGGCTTCTGAGGGCTGATGGTGGAGCAGTTGTGCGGAGTGACGGACCGGCAGGGCCCTCTCCTCCCGCCCCCCCCCCAACTGCTTTCCTAAACTTGGCGGTTTCCACCCACCATTCCGTAGATAAGGCCTCTGGTTCCCTCACCATCTCCCCTCTTAGACTGTCTCATGTTGAGTTTTCCCGTGCAAAAGTCTCCCCCATTCCTGCTTGAAAGGAGGGTTAGGATCCTTGACGCACGGGGTCACATGTCCCGGCTGATCTTGCTGAGTTCCTGTCCCCGAATTCGCAGGCCCAGGGCCAGGCACAAATCGAACTGAGATTTTAATATGCTGTGGTCGGCACTGGGGAAGGGAAGTTCGGCTGATGCGGAGAGGCAGGCAGGCGGCAGCTCCCCTGCCCTCCTGAGAGAGGGGGCCCCAGAGCTGAGAACTGGGATGGAAGGGGGCTCAGGCAGTGGTGTGAGGGGGGGGGCTCTGGCCTGAGCGCAGGACCCCATCAGGAGGCAGGAGGGTGCGTGTTCCTGTGTTCAGATGCAAAAGCCTCCCTGCGTGGCAAACGTTCGCATTCTGTCAGGCCGGAGCCTGCACGCGGCCTTTATTCATTGCCCTATGTGACCACAAGAAAGCGCCTGGCGGTGGTGGTGGGCTGTCAGCTGTAGAACCCCTAAAGCTTCCAGAAAGAAAGTCCTGCAGGGGCCTGAGAGATCGACAAAGCAGCAGGCGAGCGAGTCTGGTTTGGTCCCTGGCACCACATCGGGTCCCCGGAATCTCCCAGAGAGATCCCTGAGTGCAGAGCCCGGAGAAGCCCCCCCGTGTGGCCCAAACACCACTAAAAATCCCAAAGTCCTGCATGGTCTTAGTTGGACTCATCTTCAGGGCTCTGGAAGGTTCTCCCGACCGCTGGTCCTCACACCAGGTTGGGGACAGAAGGCTGGCAGGCGCTGGAATCTTCGTTTTATTGACCTCACAGGTCTGGGGCTCGTTGAGTGTGGCGGAACATGGGGAGCTCCGGGGTCCCCTTTCTTCTTGCAGGCATCTGGGATGAGTGTTTGGCCTCACTTCCCTTCCCCTTAGGTGGGCTGGAGCACTCAGGGGATCAAATAGAGGCTGCCCTCCTGGCCTTCCCTCGAAGGGGGAGTGAGTATTTTGATTTTCCCCCAGCCCCAAGCCCACCAGGAGGGTGCCGGCAGAGTTAGGGACCCTGCAGATTTGCAAAGAGGAGAGCAGCTCAGTGGAGGACCCTTAGCCAATGGAAGGAGGAAGGACCCCCGAGTCCCATCTCCATAGGTGCCACTGTGAGACCCTGTCTCCACGGAGCTGCTGGGCTGGCGTCTGCCCTGGAGCCCCGGATATGGCCCTCCTGCCCGCTTCATGTCTGGCATCACCCCCTCTGATGGGCAGCTGCAGCCAGGTTTTGCTGATGGAGGAGTGAGAGCATGAGTAAGCTCTGTGTGTGTATGTGTGTGTGTGTGTGTGTGTGTGTGTGTGTGTGTGTGTGTGTGAGAGAGAGAGAGAGAGAGAGAGAGAGAGAGAGAGAGAGAGAGTCAGTCCTGAGTGCCAGGGCTCTGTGTGTGTGTGTGTGTATGTGTCTCAGTCCCCGAGTGCCTGGCCAGGTCTGTTTGACTCCAGGCTTGACCGTTGCCCCCCAAGTGCCCCTTCCGGTCCCAGGGGCAGCCCCAGAAGGGACCCTATTGAGTGCGTGGAGAGAGAAGGAGAGGAGGGGAATGGGGAGGAGGAGCAACCAGTGCTTAGTGTGGGTGGGTGGGTGGAGCAGGGAATGTGGGGGGCCCCCCGGGAGCCTGGGGTCTTCCCCAGCCACACAGGGAAGGCTTCAGGCAGTGTCTTCATCTGTGGTCTCATTCTCCTGTGGCTTCACCATAATCTTGGGGACAATGCTTCCCCATGGGCGTCCCTGGCGGGCCCTGAGTGAAAGAAGCCTGAGTCTTGGTGTGGTTCCAGACACAGCAAGTGACTTCTGTCTGTCCCGGTGCCTGGGGGGTGGGGGTGGGGGCGCTCGGGCCTCATGACCAGGTTCCCAGAGCTACACAGAGGCACAATGGGAGCCAGTGCAAGGAGACAGCATGAAGGGGGCTGGCGTTGTGGGGTCCGGGAGGAGACAGGGGCGAAGGGGGAGGGTTGTTCTCAGGACCTCAGCTCCCACTCCCTGTGCTCACCCTGTGCAGCCGAGCTCCCGCCTCTGGCCGATGACTCAGCGTGAACGGAGCTGTCTGCACCTCAGCCTTAGTTGATGGGTGCGAGGCATCACTCAGGGGCTTGCAGCTGAGGATCTGGGCAGATCTGCATTTTCAGGCCAGGAAGAAAGCAGCCAGAATGTGGGGCTGACGTGTGTGTGTGTGTGTGTGTGTGTGTGTGTGTGTGTGTGTGGTGGTGGTGGTGGTGGGTGGGTGGGGTGGTCAGCCAGTGAGAGGCCAAGTCCAACCCCTGGTCTCAGTTCAGCCTGACACCGCCCACCTGCTAAGCCCGTGAGATGGCAGAGATGACCACCAGCCTAGAAGAAATGGGATGGGGTTTGCCTTCCCTGGGAATCCCCTCGAATCACAGAGGAGGGACCAAGAGCTTCCTCATACCCACTGTCTGCCCCCCCCTACCCCACCCCTCATTCTTGGCAGTGCTGAAATTCCTGAGGGGCTGGACAAAGCCCAGCACCCTGGAAACGGGAGACCTAGATCGAGCTCCATCACTTCAGCCCCCAGACAGCCCCTGACAAAGGGGCAGGGAGTCCAGGCAGAGGGGGAGGAGAGGGAGAGAGCAGGGGTGCGCCCCCCCAGGAACCCCCGGGGCTGACTTCCCATTCTCTATGCCTACTGGGCTGTGGTCCTGCATTCCTCCAGGGGCTCAGAGCGCTTCTCTCTCTTGTGACATTTCAGATCATCCACTTGTCACACAGTAACAAGTCTCACAATGTTACTAGGCCCCCTGGGCAAATCGATGAACAGTGGACAGTGACAGTGACAGTGACAGTAACTTGTCACACAGGGCCTGGATCTGGCTCATGGGTGTGGCTCCAAGGAAGTTCAGGAGTGAGGGTCCCAGGCTGAAGTAAGTTGCATCTTTCCCAGAACACCCATGCCTTCCATCTTGCACAGCTCTCATTTTCAGGGTGTCGGATGCCATCCCTCCCCCACCCAGGGCAGGAAGTCCATCAGCTGCTGGTGTTCACTCCCACAAAGTCCCGCTCCAGGGAGGGTCTGGGTCCCCAGCACTGCCCTTCCTCCTGCCTCCTAGCATCATGAGTGTGTGTGTGTGTGTGTGTGTGTGTGTGTGCGCGCGCGCGCGTGTGTGTCTGTGTGTCTGTGTCTGAGTGCTGTCTGGCAGCAAGAGACTCAAGTTCCATCCTCGGTACCCCGTGGTTTCCTGAGTGCGGCCAGAAACAAGCCCCTGAGACCCAGATGTGGCCCCACCCCCAATAACAATATGGTATGTGGGAACCGCAGGGCTGTGGGGAGAGTTACACAGATCAGGGAGCCCCTTGGAGACCTTCCTGGGTGGGTCCCATTGTGAAAAGTTCCCTCGAGTCCCTCACAGAAGGAGCGACAGCTGCCGCCCGGTTTCCTGTCCCCAGAGAGAGGACGGACACCTGCCTCAGTCCCATTGAAGCCCAGTTTTTCTTTGCGTTAAAAGGACTCGAAACGTCCTGGTCCTTCAAGGGGAAGTCCAAGCTCTTCACTCCAGGTCGAGACCGGCTCTGGTGGGCCCCATCCGGCCACGTCCTGGACTGCTGCCCTGGCCAAGAGCTGAGCTAAAGACTAGCCAGGGGCACAGCAGGTGGGGCACGGACTGGCCCACTGGTCCTTCTGGCACGGAGGGCAGAAAGGGGCAGGTACATCCGCTCCTCCTGCCCCATCCGCTTCCTGGTCTTAGGTGAGCCTCACCGGGACAAAGAAGGATGATTCTCGGGTGTGGATTGACCCAAGCTCAGATTGGGGGAG